TGAAGCCCACTTGATCGTGGTGGATGATTTTTCTGATATGTTCTTGGATTCGATTAGCCAATATTTTATTGAGTATTTTAGCATCAATGTTCATGAGAGATATTGGTCTGTAGTTCTCTTTCTTATTCTTATCTTTGTGTGGCTTGGGTATCAAAGTGATTGTAGCCTCATAGAAGGAGTTTGGCAATATCCCATCTGCTTCTATTGTGCGGAACAGTTTGAGGAGTATTGGTATCAGCTCTTGTTTGAATTTCTGGTAGAATTCTGCAGTGAAGCCATCTGGTCCTGGGCTTTTTTTGGTTGGGAGGCTTTTGATGACTGCTTCTATTTCATTAGGGGTTATGGGTCGATTTAAATTGTTTATCTGATCTTGATTTAATTTTGGTAAGTGATATTTATCCAGGAAACTGTCCATTTCCATTAGATTTTCGAATTTTGTGGAGTACAGATTTTCAAAGTATGACCTAAAGATTCTCTGGATTTCCACAGTGTCCGTTGTTATATCCCCCTTTTCGTTTCTGATTTTGTTAATTAGTGTGCTCTCTCTCTGCCTTTTGGTTAGTTTGGCTAGAGGTTTGTCTATCTTGTTGATCTTCTCAAAGAACCAACTCTTTGTTTCATTGATTCTTTGTAATGTTTTCCTAGTTTCTACTTTATTGATTTCAGCTCTCAGGTTGATTATTTCCTGGCGTCTACTCCTCCTTGGTGAGTTTGCTTCTTTTTGCTCTAGTGTTTTCAGTTGTTCTGTCAGTTCTCTAATGTGACTTTTTTCTAGTTTCTTCATGTGGGCACTTAGTGCTATGAACTTCCCTCTTAGGACTGCTTTCAGAGTGTCCCATAAGTTTGGGTATGTTGTGTCTGCATTTTCATTAGAATCTAGGAAGTCTTTAATTTGTTTTTTTATTTCTTCCTCAACCCAGGAATGGTGCAATTGGGTGTTATTCATTTTCCAAAAGTTTGCAGGTTTCCTGCCATTTGTATTGTTGCTGAATTCTAGCTTTAATGCATGGTGGTCTGATAAGATACAGGGGGTTATTTCAATTCTTTTGTAATTGTGGAGGTTTGCTTTGTTGCCTACTATGTGGTCAATTTTGGAGAAGGTGCCATGTGGTGCTGAGAAGAAGGTATATTCTTTTGAGTTTGGATGGAATGCTCTATAGATATCCGTTAACCCCAGTTGGGCCATGACTTCTTTCAGATCCTCTGTTTCTTTGTTAAGTTTTTGTCTGGTGGTCCTGTCTAGTGGTGTAAGGGGGGTGTTGAAGTCTCCTACTATAAGTGTGTGTGGTTTTATGTGTGGTTTGAGCTTTAGTAATGTTTCTTTCACAAATGTGGGTGCCTTCGTATTTGGAGCATAGATGTTCAGGATTGAGATTTCATCTTGATGGACTTTTCCTGTGATGAGTATGAAATGCCCTTCTTCATCTCTTTTGATTGATTTTAGTTTAAAGTCCATTTTGTTAGATATTAGGATTGCTACACCTGCTTGTTTCTTGAGGCCATTTGATTGGAAAATCTTTTCCCATCCTTTTACTCTGAGGTATCGCCTGTCTTTGAAGTTGAGGTGTGTTTCTTGTAAACAGCAGAAAGATGGATTCTGTCTTCGTATCCATTCTGTTAGCCTATATCTTTTTACGGGTAAGTTAAGGCCATTGACATTTAGGGATATTAATGTCCATTGTTCGTTGGTTCTTGTTTGGTTTGGATTTATTGTTGGTGGTGTCATTGTGTGTGGATTTTGCTCTCCTGCTTCTTTTTGTGTTTGGCAATATTAGATTATCTATTGCCTGTGTTTTTGTGCATGTAGTTATGTTCCTTGGGTTGGAGTTTTCCTTCCAGAACCTTCTGTAGTGCTGGATTTGTGGATATGTATTGTTTAAATCTGTTTTTGTCATGGAAAATCTTGTTTTCTCCATCTATAGTGATTGAAAGTTTTGCTGGGTACAGTAGTCTGGGTTGACATCCATGCTCCCTTAGTGCTTGTAGTGTATCTATCCAAGACCTTCTGGCTTTCATAGTTTCCATTGAGAAGTCGGGTGTGATTCTGATTGGTTTGCCTTTATATGTTACTTGGCCTTTTTCCTTTGCAGCTCTTAATATTTTTTCTTTATTCTGTAGATTTGGAGTTTTGATTATTATGTGTCGGGGGGACTTCTTTTTGTGGTCCAGTCTGTTTGGTGTCCTATAAGCTTCTTGTACTTTCATAGGCATATCTTTCTGTAGGTTGGGGAAGTTTTCTTCTATGATTTTGTTGAATATGTTTTCTGTACCTTTGAGCAGTGTTTCTTCACCTTCTTCTACACCTATTATTCTTAGGTTTGGTCTTTTCACGGTGTCCCATATTTCCTGTATATTTTGTGTTAGGGATTTGTTGGTCTTGAGGTTTTCTTTGGTTGATGAATGTATATCCTCTAGCGAGTCTTCAATAGCTGAGATTCTCTCTTCTGTCTCTTGAATTCTATTAGTTATACTCACATCTTTAGATCCTGCTCGTTTATCCAACCTTTCCATTTCCAGCATCGCTTCATTCTGTGTTTTCTTTAATGTGTCTAATTCAGCTTTCATGTTTTGAACTGTTTCAAGAGCTTCCTTCACTTGTTTGGTTGTTTTATCTTGGGTTTCTTTAGCTTCTTTAAGAGATTTGTTTATTTCTTGAATATTTTGGTTTGTCTTTTCCTCCATATCGTGTAATTTTTTGCTTACTTTTTCTTCTATTTCTTTAAGGGATTTTCTTGTTTCCTCTTTGAAGGTCTCTATCATCTTGCTCAGATAATTTTTGAGGTCCATCTCTTCTTCATGCACTGTGTTGGGCTTTTCAGATCTTGCTGGAGTGGAGTCCCTAGATTCTGGTGGTGTCATATTGGTCTTTCTGTTGTTGAGCGGGTTCTTATTCTGTCTTCTTCCCATATCTTTTTCCAGTGAGTGCAGGTAGGATCTCTCTATCTCCTCTTGTTACTCTGTAGTGTGTGTGGGCCAGGAATTCAATGTCCGAAGCTCTGGATGGTTTTGCCTCTCCTCGTAGCCTCCTCACTCTGATGGCGTTAGGCCTCTTGGTGGATCGGTCGCCGGGAATGGAATGAAGAGTGGCCTGTACCCAGATTCGGGGAGCTCCTCCCTGCCTGGACGTGTCTGTTTCAAGCAGGGACGAGCCTGGAGGGATCTGGGTGGATGGCGCTTAGGACAAGAATTGGGTAAAAGCAGGGGGTGGCTCACCTGGTCTGCGATGAGTTCACGGAAAGGGAAGGAAGAGTGTCCTGAACCAAGCCAGATTCAGGAAGCTCCACCCTGCCTGGGCGTGTCTGTTTCAAGCAGGGACGAGCCTGGAGGGATCTGGGTGGATGGCGCTTAGGACAAGAATTGGGTAAAAGCAGGGGGTGGCTCACCTGGTCTTCGATGAGTTCACGGAAAGGGAAGGAACAGTGTCCTGAACCAAGCCAGATTCAGGAAGCTCCACCCTGCCTGGGCTTGTCTGTTTCAAGCAGGGACGAGCCTGGAGGGATCTGGGTGGATGGCGCTTAGGACAAGACTTGGGTAAAAGCAGGGGGTGACTCACCTGGTCTGCGATGAATCCATGGAAAGGGAAGGAAGAGTGTCCTGAACCAAGCCAGATTCCTCCTTTGACTCTTAAGATGCAAATTATACATTATATGTAATCATTAGTTTACGTATTTTCTTTGTTTATATATTTTTCTATATCCTTTTAACAAGTTTCAGACTCCTCAAAGATTGTATATAGTGTGATTCAATATATTTGCTTTTTAAAATCTGAATTCTGCTCTTTATTGCTTTATATCATCATATATAATACAAATACACTCATTAGAAGATATCTGGGAAACAATGAGAATACTTTTTCCATTTCCCCCTTTCCTTTTAAATATTTTTGAAATTAAAAGATAGCATTGATCTGAGATAGAGCAATCATTAGTACATGGGAGGAGTTGTATAGAGGAAAGGAAAAAGAGAAAATGATGTAATTTGAAAATGTATATTTGCTTTTTATAACATGGACTAAACAAATATGTAGAGAGCTACCACTATGTGCCAGGCTATGGTGGATTCTAGAAGCACACGGTAAATAAATGAGAACAATCTCTGCTCATCTAAGGGGCACATCACTAAAATTCTCATGTATCTAAAATTAAATTCACTGGTTACATCCTTAATAACTACAGACAAGTTCTGATTTACGTATCTTTCTTGCAATTTGAGGAGATCATTATACTTCTAGTCATCCATCAATAGGGATACTGGTGAATGTCTTAATACTGCCTTTTCTTGAAGCATCATTTTAGTTAATTGTCTCTTTGATTAGAATCTTTTGGCATATAAATTTCAAATGAATAAAAGAATATTAAGCTGTTATACATAGGTCAAGAGAATGAAAGTATTTTACTATTCTTTTAAACTGATTACAATTTGGCAACATAATAAATATATCTTCATTTTATAGAGTAAATATGAGAAAATTATGAATATGAGTTAGAAATAAATTCTAGCATATAACTAGTATTATTTGAACCTTTATTTGTATCTTTATTTTAATAAAGTATAACTAATGATTCCAAATTTCACTTAAATTCTTCATATTTTCTGTATATTAAAGTTCAGAATTTTTATTATATTGAGACCAAAGTTTTCTTTTTTTATTTATTTATTATCTTTCTCTCCATTTTTATTTAAATTAGAAACAAGATTATTTTACGCGTCAATCTCAGTTCCTTCTGCCTCCCCTCTCCCCTGCCTCCCCTATTTTTATTTAAATTAGAAACAAGATTATTTTACACGTCAATCTCAGTTCCTTCTGCCTCCCCTCTTCCCTGCCTCCCCTCAACTAACACCCTACCTATCCCTTACCCTTTCTGCTCCACAGGGAGGGTGAGGCCCCTTCCATAGGGGGTCTTCAGATCCTGTCATATCCAGAGACCAAAGTTTTCTTAAGAATTGATTTTTCAGAGACGCCGAGGGTTGGGAACGGACCTGTGGCGTGAACTCTTCATCATGGACGCTGCCGAGGTGGAGTTTTTGGCCAAGAAGGAACTGGTGACCATTATTCCGAACTTCAGTCTGGACAAGATCTACCTAATTGGGGGAGACCTGGGGCCCTTCAACCTGGCTTACCCGTGGAAGTGCCCCTTTGGCTGGCCCATTAACCTGAAACAGAGACAAAAGTGCTGCCTGCTACCTCCAGAGTGGATGGATGTGGAGAAAATGGAACAGATTCAAGATCAAGAGCGGAAGGAGGAGACATTCACCCCAGTGCCCAGCCCCCACTACATGGAGATCACTAAGCTCTTGCTGAACCATGCTTCTGACAACATTTCTAAGGCAGACACCATCCGGACACTGATCAAAGATCTGTGGGACACACGCATGGCCAAGCTCCGGGTGTCTGCTGACAACTTTGTGTGGCAGCAGGAGGCACATGCCAAGCTTGATAACTTGACTTGATGGAGATCAACACCAGCAGGGCCTTCCTCACTCAGGCACTTAAGCACATGTACAAACTCCGCACAAACCTCCAGCCCGCTGAGAGCACACAGTCTCAGGAATTCTATCCAGAGGCCTGTGATGTGCAAACCCTTGCTGTCTGCTGGTGTCCAAGCTCTAGACCTAATAGGCACTCGGCTCTGGAAGCACAAAGGTGGAAAGATAGATGTGCAACACTGGTGGAAGCTGTGAGTTTGCTACTCATTTCTGTCAGAACCCAGCCACACTGCAAGTTCAATTTCCAACGAATGTAGCAGCCACTAGCATTTCTCTCTAGTGAGCATGGAGTCCTCTGCAAACCATGCACAGTGAGTGTTCAGGCCAGTTTAGTTCAGCTTCTACAAGTCTGACTGTGAAAGCTATATGTAGTTGAAAACTGGGGATGGTGGTGATGCTAATATAAAATGATTTTCCTCTTAAAAAAGAATTGATTTTAACTCTATAACTTATATAGAAATAGGTAGAGATATGTTGTGGACTCTTTGTATTTAAAATATATTAAAGGCGATATCTATGGTATATACATCATTGAGTTCTTTGCATCACAAAGGTCATTTAAATGCCAGAAAGTTATCTTACCTGGTTTAGTACTTAGATATATCTAGTGGAAGCAAATTAAAAGTTAGTTATATAGGGTCATGTGATTTCATTAGCTAAGGCTTGATTGGTTTTAGGTTAATGATGATTGACTGATTTTTGCTGAGTGTCTGCTTGATACATTGTGTTGATGGAGGTCAGATAAAAAGTGTTTATTCTTGCTCCACAAATATTCTCTTGGAATTCTTTTTTGATTTATTTTAATTTGTGTGTCTCTGTGTTTGTATTCTACATGTGTATGGGTGCCCAAAGAAGCCAGACTAGGATGTCACATTCCTTGAACCTATAGTTACAGTTAGTTGGAACTTGCCTGATGCAGGTGCTTAGAATCAAACTCTGGTCCTCTGAAAGAGTAACTGCCACTCTTAACCACTGAACCATAATTCCAGCATGCTGGGGATTTTTTAAACAATTTGATTGCTTTGCCTAATCCCCACCTAATATAGACATAGTGAGCTAATGTCCCATTTTCAAGTTAATGCCCTTGGGAGTCTTAGGTAGCTTAACTTATGCTTCTTTGTCTGAATCCACCATATTTTTCCACAAACCCATTTTCTTCATCTGTCCCATTTCTTTGACTTTATTTTCTTTTATAAGGACCCACTTAAAAAGTTAAAACTGGAATTTGTGGTGTTAGCAGAGAAAGGGTAAGATGATTTTATGACAAAAGCTTGCAGTCAAGAGAGAAAGGCTTTCTCCAGCAACTAACAATGACCCAGTAAGGTATAGAGTAATGGAGAAAGTGGTAAGTAAAAAAAAAAGACATTGTTTATTAGGGGCCTAGAGACTTCATTAAATTTTTCTATTAAATTCTATGGACAAAACATTAGAAGGCTAAGTCCAGGGGTATTGTGTGTGATAGATTTATTCTTTGAAAGGTCATTCTGATTAGAATATAAAAACAATAAGACCACACTTTTGTAGTGTCAGAAGGTGCTTTTTTAGGTTTGTGTAGTGAAAGTAAGAGTAGGAAAACATTGCCAAATTGAGAAGTATTTACTGTAAGGTGGATGTGGTCATGCATATCAGTGATTTCCAGTACAAGGGAAGCTGAGATAGGGGAATCCTGGCAAGTTTGAGGCCACTGTGGGTTGTAAGTAACACCTTTACTTAAACAATAAACAGAATCTATAGTTTGATAATATAGAATCTATAGTTTGATTATTGGGTTGGGGAGATGATAGAACACAAATAATATGTGTGTTTCTCTGCTACTCTCTCTTTTATAACATTAGTGAGTTTCAGTTTTAGGAGCTCATCCTAATGACATTATCTAAGTCCAATAAGTTCCCATAGACCCAAATTTTAAACACAATAGTCAGTTACATTTCTATCCTCTTAACACCTTAGGGTGAGTAGTTAATTTTAGTATAATTTTAGTACATGAAGCCTTGTTGGACACATTGAAATGTGTTCAATTGCAGCATTTATGAATATAGTAAACACTGGAAGATCACTGTGATGATTCTCCATTGTCAGCTTGATAGGATGTAGAATCAAACTATTATATATGCCCCTGGATGTGTGTGTGTGAGGGCATTTCTAAAAAGGAGTATCTGAGGTGGGAAGACAGGCAGGCCCTCAAAGTAGATCTGCATAGTCTGGGGAAAATGTGTTGCCTGTCTGCCTTCCTATGTTCTTGAACATATGTGTCTCTTGGTAATGCTCTGTGGAAGACAGGCAGGCCCTCAAAGTAGATCTGCATAGTCTGGGGAAAATGTGTCTCTTGGTAATGCTCTGTGCATATCAGACTCCAGCTTCTTTAAATATGTCTTGAATACCGGAGCTTGTTGGGGGGGCTGACAAGTTTTTGGATGGTGGTGGCATCCAGCTTTTTGGATTAAACAGCAGCTGAGTTCTCAGTCTTTCCCTATGCAGATGGCCATTGTTAAACTACTTTGCCCTTACTGTTTTCATCATTCTAATAAGTTCCTTTTCATAATATATATTGTATTATTTTGTTCCTGTAGAGAAAACTGCCCAATATAAACTTTAGTAACAGAGGTGGGGTGGTAATAAAGCATCAGATTTGGCAGGATAGATTTGTCTCATGGGCTTGATGATATCTAGAGCTTGTATTCTAATCTGAATGCACTTAAAGTTGCTAATGCTCTCCTGGTTGTATGGAAATCAGTGATAATCCATGGTGTGAATTGCTTGAAGAATTATGCAGGATGAATGCATGTAATATTCTTGATTCAGCACTTGAGAGAGGCAAGGAATTTAGTGACTATCTACATAATGATTTTGAACATTTCTGGAAAATTAAGGAAAATAATAATACTGGCTGGTTCAATTTACAACCTTTGAGTAAAGTCACAAAGGAAAAAATGACTCAGATGCGATTTCCCAGTTCCAGATGTGCATAAAGACTCTGAAACTTCTATGTGCCGTGAGAGAGACAATTCTCTCTAGTAACTACAAGGCACAAACTGCCAAGCAACAACAACAAAACCAGAACAAAATAAAACAAAAACAAAACAAAAACCCCTATGAGCCCTCATCATGCCTGACTTACAATGAAAGTTTATGCCTTAGCCTCAAATATTGTCTCCAAGTAAAGTAAGGTATTGATTGCAATAAAAGAGTGAAAACCCATAACTCTGAATGAAGATTTGTCAGAAGAACCAGATAAGATTGAGGACATTGAACATGAAGATTCTGATCATCTTATTTTGCCTGAGGAAGCAGCTGTCTAGGGAACTCGAAGGCCTATAGCACTGATTTGGGACTGTTGAGACACTCAGCTTCATGGATTGAGTAGCTACCGGATTCTCTGCCTCTTTAGCATGTACACACACATTGTATTCCTCAACCCCTAACATGTAAGTCAATCCAATTAATCCCTTCTCATAATATATTCATTGTTTTGGTTCTATTTCTGTGGAGAATCTTATTTAATATCTTTTTGGTTAACTTTTATACTATTGATAAAAAATCTCTTTTGATCCCTTTTCTTCTCTCATTACTCCCCTCCCTCAATGTTCACATTTTCTTAAAACTCATGAAAAGAATAGATATTTATCATCTATACCTTATTTCCTCTTGTCTTCTGAAGTCACTCTTTTACCTACTACTCCACCAAATCTGCCCTGCTGTCATGGTAACTATTGACCACACATTGATGTAGTCCCTGACCTCACCTTACTTGGTAGACCAGCAGCCTTTTTTGTCATAGTTAATCTTTTCTACCTTGGCATGCTTAACTGATTGGCTTCCTTGATTCCACAGCATTTTGATCATCCTATACCTCAATAGATACTTCTTCTTAGCCCTTTTATCTAGATTTTCCTTTCATTTTCCTCTTATCTTTGTAGTGGTGTATTCTAGGACTTAGGCCTCAATCATTGCTCATCCCTTATGTTCTGTACCCCATCTTTCCCACTATGAGAACACCAGATACAGTGCGCCTAGAATTAGTCCCTAGACATTTTCTTTCAGTCTCACTGCCTAAGTGCCACTTATATAACTGTAGCTCTCAATTTTTATCTCTGGCTGTGATTTTTCCTTTGAGCTCTAGACTAGTAAATCAACATTACTACTACGATGTTTTAAAGCATCTCAAATTTAGGCCCCAGAACTAAACCCCCAATACTCCACTTTCCAATTCCCTTCTCTGTCTTAATAGATAGCAACTCTATTTTTCTAGTCTCTCAGGCTAAAACATTGCTATTTTTACATTATTACTTTTGTTTAACCCATCAATAAAATATCTTTATCATTACTTGCCTACAGTGTTCAATATCTTCCTAGTCTTCATACAGTACTAAAGGAACACTTTAATTTTATTTAATTATTTATTTATTTTGAGACTGGATTTCAGGTAGCCCATGCTGGCCTAGAACCTGTTACATAGCCAAGGATGACTATGACCTTGTGATCTCCCTGACTAACTACCCCTCCCAAGTGCTAGAAATACGTGTGTGCCCCATTAATCCATCAAACCTAGGGCTTCATAAATGCTAGGCTAGAACTCTACTGAAAAAGCTACATCCTCAGTCACTTTAAATTTTGAACTCTACTTTTAACTCACAGATTATATGATAGCATTTCTCTTCTCAAAACCTGCCATTGATTTCCATTACGTAAAAGAAGTGGAGGTCCTAAATAATGAGCCATCATAATTTTTCCAATATCATTTGTATCTCATGATTGACTCTACTCCAAGTTTATTCACTGATTTTCAGACACAAACAGCACATTATCATTCTTAGATGTGTTTACTTCCCATTCTTCCTTTTCGGGGTATTTATGCTTGATATTTTGTGAGCTTACTTCTTCTTTTTCTTTGGGTATCTGCACAAATTTCACCTTATTACTATAATTATATAAAAGATATCTTTTCACTTTTTAGTTCTTTACCCCCTTTCTTCAGTGTA